GAGCAGCAACAAGACCTCCTCCTCCTCCTCCTCCTCCTCCTCCTCCTCCTCCTGTCCTGGAGGGAAATCCTCCAGTGCCATAAGCGGAGCTGCCAATCTGCCTGATCAACATGCATATAAAACCTATAAAGACACATTACTGGACCCAAATCTTAAAGACAAAGACCATTCCCACTACTACTATCATCACCAAGATCCACTAGGGAACTACAGACACCAAGACAGACCTGCAGGGAGCCACCACTCCCCACCTTCCCACTCCCACAGCCGGAGTAAGGAGAGAAAGCCGCACCCCTTGAAATCCTCCGGAGGGTCAGAGCTCAGTAAGCCCAGAACGAGCAGCCCTGGGCCGAACAGCAAAAATGAGAGCACGGTTGAAAAGGGGGAGTGGAAGCAAAACAGGGTGGATAAAGTGATAAAGGAAGGCAAAGGGGAGAGAGAAAATCCAGAGATGGTGGCTGAGAGAGAAGGAGGTAATCGATGGGAGGACGAGGCTGATAAACTGGACGGACAGACCAAGTGGGAGGGCGGGAGAGAACTGGAGGAAGGGGAGAGGCCCAGCAGCAGCAGCAACGGCGTCAGTTCATCAGCGAGCCAGGAGAGCAGCAGCAGCGACGACGGGAAAAAAGAGTGGAAGAAGAAACAAAAGAAGCAGAACAAGGAGAGGAGACAACTGGCCCCGGAGCTGCTGGAGGAAGGGGAGCTGAAGAAACACAAACACAAGAAGAAGTCAAAGAAAAGCAGAGATGGGGGGGAAGAGGAGAGTAGTGGAGAGGTGGACAACAGGTGGAAAGAGGAGGAAGAGCAAGCAAAGCTATGCTCACTTTTGTTCTTTTGACTGTCACTGATGATGATCTTTTGACTGTTTACTGATGATGTTTTTCCTTTCTCTGTCCAAAAAGTGCCTGGATTTATTTTTTGACTTTATTTTTTCTTTTCCCAGGATACTTTTTGTATCACCTTATATGAAATATGCATCATCCAAAATGAAAGTGAACAAATTGTGAAGGAAAAGCACTTTATACGATATGTAAGAAAAATGAATGTGAATAGAAGCAAATGTGAAACATTTGACCTCTTGAATGACTTAAAGGTCAAGGAACTTGCTCAGGACTGCCACCAACTATGGTTTATGTACTAAACCTGCAGCTTGCATGAAGGAAATCTTACATTTTGACAACAGGTCATTCAGTAATTTGATTTGCCTCACTCAGGAGCACAGGAGTGCATATTATTGAAAAGAGTTTGTGATTAATTTAAAGCATATACTGTGAATATTTATGATTTGAAAAGCTGTCGTATTTTTTTTTTTTTCTTTTTAATTTTGTAAATGTTTGATTTAAAACTCCTGGATGGATAAAGAAATGTACCAGAAGAAAGTTTAGTTTTTCCTGTTTTGAAGGAAATAAAAAGAAACATCCTTACAGTGTTTTTCTGCTGCTTTCACAGCAAGTAACAGTAATATGTTTGAGTGACTCGTGTAATGACAATCTGAGTAACAATTTCTTGAGTTTGTAATTTTATTGGGCAACAAAAGTGCACGTTTAACCGAGTAGGAACCTGACAGTATCTTCAGTCATGCTAGTGGTTTAGCTCTATTTAGCAAATGTTAGCACCCCTAACTCTAAATTATTATTATTATTGTTTGTTTTCTTTATTGCATAAAAAAGGCACATGTCATATTCAAGAAAATATAGTTCACAATAACAGGACAACAGATTTTTTTATTTATTTAAATAAAATCCTCAATCAGGAGTTAAGGTACATAGATATTGATAAAGATATATGGATTTTTTAATTTGACATAGTTCTATTGTAGTAGCCTTACATATGCAGCAAATAGTTTAGACTTTTTTGTTTTATTAACAATATTTGTCTATGAAATATTTTGCCAAAATAATTTAATTATTATTCACCAAACTTCCTGTTTTCATAGGTTAGAATTGGAATATTTTGATAAGTTATCCAAAAAAGAAAGGCTTCCCAAAAGGTCCTAATTAATCTACAAGAGAATAATGGTTGCTCTGTGGTTTCACTGTTTGAGTTTCAGAAAGTACAAATATAAATTTAACCTTTGAGTCAGATGAAGTCATTACATAGGTAAATCATTTTAAAAGGAACCTCTTCAGCCTCATCCACCAACTTTATTAAAGCCACACTGACATTACAGACGTGACATTACAAGACAAACAACACTACAGAGACTATATGAAAATAAACACAAAAATAGCAGAGCAAATAAAAATGTAAAAGATAAATAGCACAGAATGCTAGCATATCAGATGATGTTTTCTTTGTGGCTTTAGTTGGAAGAGGCGCACACACACACACACACCTTAATTACAACTAGCCCTCATAAATGTTGAGTTTTTATCTTTTTCACATTGCTACATACTTTACATATGTAGTCAATCAAAAAGGATGTGTGCAGTCTAATAACTGCGGTCTCCAATATTAGAGATGTACAATTCATATTTATGAATGGATTACAAAGCCTGGGAACTTTATTATTTTGAATTATTCAAATCCTCCGACACACACCCGGATGTAATGGTAATTTACCTTTTGTGCTTTTTAACTGGTAAGATGGTTCAGATTTCCTAGCTAGGCATTTAGTATGCAGAAACGTGGTCCATCCAAACTTATGCCTCGTATTTCCATTATGTTTTATAATAATGATTGTATAGAGATTATAATCTGCAACGTAGTAGAAACTGGAGACGTCGGATCAAACTAAACTAAAAGTATAAAGTAGCTAAAAATGGAGATACTCAAGTGAAGTACAAGT